CCCCCTTTTGGATGGCGGGCAAGTGGACGTGTGCGAGTGCCATCAGCTGGGGCCGTGAGATGTCTGCAATGCCCTTAAAAACAGGAGAGAAGGGAGTTTTTTGACACGACAATCCCAGCAGTGCTGTTAACAAGCACGTGCCTTCTTTCCTCCCCTGCCAATGGCTAAACAGTTGCTGAGGAAGCCTTTACCCCTCTTTTAAGCATCTTTCCTGCTGCTTCCTCATGTCATTGGAAGCTGCTCAGAGAAGCCTGTTTAGCTACAGGCAAGCGCGAGTTCAGTGGGCCCTCACTTCTCCTTATAAACTCTGCAGAAGCCTACAGAAGACGTGATAGAGACCTGCATGGACTATTTGGATGCAAAAAAGTTTTGTCTTGGAGAGCTGCTGTCCTCCCAGGTGGGGCTGCGGGAAGCAGCGGGAAGGGGGATCTAAGGCACTTCCCAGACTCACCGCGCTGCAGATTTAAGTACCACGATTTTAAGTACTTCACTTTCCTGCTGCGATGTAGCGCTAACTGCTGTTGCAGGCAGTGGGAATTCCCACGCCCTTCGCTAACACTTTGAGGCCAATACTTCTTTCATGATGCTTTAAGAAGTAGTGGATGCAGCTCCTGTGCTTCCTCCCCTGCCTCCTCCAGTTTGGTGGCTGCCACGTGTTTCCTATGGTGTGAAACATCCCTACTCCATGGATTTCCTCTTGCATTGGCTAATACCTTGAAAGTTAATTCAAGCAACCCATGATTATCCTGTGGGGAAAACTGTTTTGGTCCCCTTTCACCCTTACGAGCAGTTTTATCCACTTGCCTTTTGTTTGTGTAAGACATTATAGAAATACTGCTTGCAAGGAGAACCTGCCTTCCACTTCTGGAAAAGGGGTTTTCTTTTAATCTTCAAGTTGCAAAGTCCTCCTGGCATTGCTTGGACAGTCTAAAACTCAGACCATCATTTAACCTGAGCTTTGCCATTGCTTATCAGGGATGGCTTGGATATAATTTGCGCTTCTTTGTAATTAGAAAAGGCTGGTTATTCTTAGGAACCTTAATTAATTAAATTAGAGATGATATTGAGGGAATAAAGTGTTGACACAGCAAGCTAATAACATCCTGCTGCTAAATAATCTCCACGAAGATGAGTCGTGGTCGGAAAGGATGGCAAAGCAATCAGCTGAGCAGAGCGGGAGCTGCGGAGTCTGCAGACGTGGGCTTGCCAGCCAGACTGCGTCACTGTGCCGGTCTCTCTGCCAGCTGCGCAGCTGGATTTTGACTGGCCTTAACTATATTTCAGCCTAGGGCTACTCAGTAGATTCTGGGCCAGATTCGGACTGTGAGAAAAGTTTGTTTGCATCTCACTGAGGCCCCAGATATGTGGTATCTGCTGCACCCTTGCAGGATTCACATATTTGCTGCCTATTCACATAGCTGCTGCCCGTTGCCATCAAAGTGTTGTAGCAGGGCTGGGGAGCTGCGTCAGCTGCAGCCAGTGCAAAGCATCCCCCCTGAGCAGACTTTGCTAAAATTACTCATTAAATTATTCATTAAAAACAGAGGAAGTCTGTGTCACAATGTAGCACACTGTGAAAGTGGCACGAGCTTCATGTGCAACTTGGTGCTGTGCTAGAAATGCCTGGTCAGGGGCAAGTTTGTCTTATTATTCATTGTCATTATTGTCCTCGTGGTGGAACAGAAACGTTCAGTGAGGTGCCCTGTAAACGTAGGAGATGACCAGAAATCGGGAGCAAAACAAAAAAAAAAACTTCAAGCACATAGTTTTAAGCCAATCTGTATAATTTCTGGACAGAAAAGTAGAGTTTGTAACACAGGTCTATCTGAGCAGAAAGATCCAGTCCCCAAAATAATAGCTGTTCAACATACAAGGTTGTTCAAAGACCCGATGAATTAAAAACAAGATTTGCTTTTACTTTTGCAGCTCTGGACAAACTGCCTAAAGTTGCAGTCTAAACCAATACTGCCTAAAATGGCCAGTAAACTGCCTGTAAAGTTGCCACCTAAACGGAC